GCCGCGTGCCGGCGTGCCAAGCCGGCCAGGGCGCAAGGAGGCGCCGTCCAAGATGTGGGTGGCGATGGTGGTGATAGTGGTAGTGGTGCTGCAGATTGCCTCCACCACGGGGCTCTTTGTCTACCTGAACATGTCCATATCGGAGGTAAGAGCCGGTTTTCACTCCCTTTAAGAGTTTATATGCTGTACTTTAGGCTACATATAGGAATTGTTTTGCCTGGTGAGAGTAAAACCCCATTCTGACAGATCGATACATTTTTGCATTGTCGAGGACGCGAACTGAAACTTTCGTCAAGGGTGCAATTTCTGGAAGTTCTTTGGCCAAATTTGCCCTCGCTTTCTGATTTGTCAGGCACTTGGAAAACAGCTTTACCTGAATTTACAAGCAGTCAGTCCGAAGGGAATAAGCCCTTTGTCTGTCCAGCAGTTGATCGAACTCAACGCGTGAAATTGCCTGCGTAAAGAAACGTGTTGGAGCCATTTGGGGTAGGTAGAAAGTAGACGGGGAGTTACAGATGTGTGCAGAGGCGAATATGCAGGTCAGTGAGGCCATTCTCTGCAGTTTGAGTCAAGTCATTTTTATATCCTGAAATAAATCATCTAATACTACTGTAAATACTTCCAGGTTGCCAGATGTTATTCATTGAGACGCAGCAGGGGAATACACATAATGACAAACCATTATATTCACAGCTAGTCCTCATTTGTGTTGTTACTGTTGCGTGTAGGAGGCAGGAAATATGTTAATGATAAGCTTATCAGTCTGACTGAGACCCATATAGTTAGGAGTATAAGGCTGAGGTCCACTGTGAAGTCTCTGCCCGGGGACCGAGCAGGAACCAGAAACCTGTCACAACAGAGAGAGGTGTACTGTGCGTCTCCACATGAAAGCAGCCCTGTGTAAGAAGATACGAAGTGTGTCACACTTTCCCCTCTGTGGTGGAACGGTGGCAATAAGTTACACAGGTGTGAATCCTGAAACAACACCCGAGCACCTCACAGCTACACTTGGACCAGGTAGACAGTGAATGAAAAGGCTTATGACTGCTCCTGGGCGTGAGGAAGAAAAATTACATCAAACTTGTTTTAAGGCTTTTGCAGCTACTTTTCATTCAGAACAACTGATATAATATTATTTTAGGCTTTTAAGCTGATGCCATTACCCACAGCAACTTGAGTGAGTTACCTAGAGTCTAGTGTGACATACAAACATTTGAATGTGAAAAGAATGAGCATTGCAACTTTTCTGCAAGTCAGCAAGGATGACAACAGACAGGCAACAAGTGGAAGCATCAGTCCAGGTTTCTTCTGTGATTTGCTGTAGTTCTTAATCTCCATCTTGTCTGGCATTTCACATCTTGTATTTCTTATGGGGAAAGTGCTGATGTGGTAGTTGTTTAAAGTTTTGTACAAATCCACATACTGAAGTTTTGGTGTTGAGCCCTTGAATAATAAAGACAAGGCAGGGGAAACCCAGGCAGGAAATACTGTAGGGTACTATAATATATTGCCCTAAATAGCTAAATATAGCTGTTATACATGCTGTTTTCTTACTACTGACTTGACATGCCTGATAAAACTATATCTCTCCTTGCTTTTGAGGTATCTCAGACTTTGGCTGTGTCCATTTTCAGATGACTTATTGTACCATCAAAGTCATCTTTAGAAGTCTGTTAAAAGTGATGCAGGTCTTTATATATATAGCACCTTAGTGGTTAGACCATAAATGAATCTATACTTTTACTAAAGGATTAAAAGGCTATTTCCCAACTTGATTAACTGGTTGATTTCAGTTTCTCTTTTGTGCCACGTCAAATCACATGAAGAGTTTAGAGACTAAATAAAATGAAAAACACTGAGCTATGCATCTCCATGAGGGGAATCCCCCGGTTCTCATGTGAAGGCCAGCTATTTTAAATCTGGAAACAGGCCCTTCTTTGAATTGCAATGGAGTTACCATGCCAGCCTGGCTAAAACAAAAGACGCTTGGAACAATGCAGCACAAAGAGGAATGCTCCAGTGCTGCGGCATCCACACACTAACAAATACACATGTGAAAACAGAAACTCCTGGTGTTGAGGGTGCATGCCCTCTGCTGGTGTTTTATGGCTGTTGGGTTTGTGCAAAGCAGCTTTTCACTTTAGACAAATATCTTCTGAACAGGTGTTCTCTTTGAATGTCAGTGAATGACAGACTCGATGCTGAATTTTAAAAGACCCCTTACGTGGAGCTGTCAAAAGTTGTCATGGTGTTTTTGTCTTTTATTCAGATTTTATAGACAAAACAGTTAAATGATTAATTAATCAAGAATGCAAGAAGGTGTCAGCTGCTCTACGATACTTCTCACTGTTCTTAAAAAGCCATGACCATGAAGGAACTAAAGAATCCCAAGCACTCTTGTACTTGCTTTATTATTAACAATCATATCAAGAATAAAAAAATTCAGATCCTGTACACCTGTTAAATTACACTTAGAGAACAAGAAAGGTTTCGTGTCATCTCTTTAGTGGGTTAAATAACTGAGTGTGGCATTACATGATAGTTAAGGTTGATTTTATAAGCTTAGTACTGAGTCATATACTGTAAGTTTTTATATAGAACATAAATAACTTATCAGGTATGGTGGATGTGTTTCAGTTGCTTTCTTTAAACATGACATATTTTTCATCGCTGTGGAGGAATACTGTTTTCAGTGTGTTTGTATTCTATCCTTTACACTTCACTGGTCCACTTTATTGTTGCTTCAGTTCAGTGATACACATGGTGTGTATTCATGTGTGTGTGTGTGGTCTGATTCAGACAGACAACATTTCACTTGTGGGTGTTTGTTAGAGATGTGTATACGGTAGATGTGTGTGGTCTGTTTAGCCTAGACATTTTAGTTTTTTTCTATCACTTGTTATAAAGACATCTGATTTGCACAGAAGCTAAAACACCTGGTAGAAAACAATACTTCTTTAACTGTTGACCTCAGGTGATTTCACCCCTTCACACACTGTGCAGCCTCCCTGTGTGGCCTCAGTAGCTGTTACCAAGGCGCTTCTGACACAACCTCCTGGTGCCATGGTATCAAACACTATACTGTCGGCCAGCTGTTGCACCAGTACCTTAATATGCTGTATATTTATCCCAGAGTATCACACTGGATCGGGTTTTACTGGTGAAAGTTGAGGCTTAAAGTTACCATCAAAGAATCGATGATTACCCTAACAATGGCAAAATGTGGAGTGTTGGGGGGATGAACATGCAACACGAGCATTACAGGGGACACATGTGGACCAGAGAATGTTTGTGTGTGTGAGAGACAGACATTTGAGCTGCAACCTTTCCTCTTCATACAAACAGAGATATAAATGGATGCACACACATACACATGTTCATCACTGGTAGCCAATTTTAGGAAAAATCTAATCCGTCACTGCAAATATTTAGATTTAATTCACAGCTGCTAACAGAAACCTCTCAGACCAGACCACAATTCTAGCTCCTCCACCCCATCACACCTTCCTTCTTTCGTCTCTCCCTCTTTGTCATTCCACCTCCTGCTCCCCCCCTGCAGCCTCTGTGTTGTTATGGTTCAAGTCCACATCAGAGAGTCGAGTTACAGTCAGTTTTAGGGCTCGAGGGAGGGGCGAATTTTTCAGCAGTGATGCAAACCTTTTTTCTCTTTTATGAGGTTTAAGTTTAGAAGTAACCCTCTGGCATCGTATGTGTCTGTGCGTCTATACCAGCCTTGGATACGTCTCTAATATAGGAGGCCTACGTGTGCATCCACATCCACCCTAACACACAGGTAATGGAAGAAGGTGTCTTGTGTCTTCGTCATTAAACAAAGTCAGCAAAGCTAAAACAGCAGACGAAGATGAAAGGGAAGGCGGGGATCACAGGCAAGAGAGAGGAAAGCAGAGAAAGTGGGCACGAGGGTTGCAAGAGACAAAAGTGAAGCGGAAGACAGGAGGAGATGATGATAAGCATTTACAATAAAGAGATGAGGACTGGAAAAGCATGCAGTTTGCAGTTTTAATGAATTGTATAGCATTATACAGACTCTCAAGAGACAAACTGAAAAGTAAAAATTAAAGCAGCAGAACCGTGATACACGTTCTAGTGTTGACGGCTTTTCTCCTGATAAGGAGAACCACATAAAGTGAACTTTAAATACCTCAGTTCAGTAAAACTACCCACATTGGAGTTAAAGGCCTCAAAACATCAAAATTCTTTTACTAGAACAATAAATAAAATGTTAAATACAAGAAGTTCAGTTGTTTTCACACAGAAACAGTAAAAAAAAAAGTCTTTAAAGTCACAAATCTTTGGAAATAAGAAAGGAGGGAGACATTATTTGTGTGTTCTTGGAAGAGATGATGTCATCTAGTGGCACAGGTATACAGACCCACCACACACAGACACACACGACCTTGGATTAACAGCTTGACACGTGAAAACAGGATATTTGCATTCCTACGTTGGAATGCTCATTAGGATACGGCTACAGCCGTGTGTGTGCACGCGCCAACAGCTGTTGCTGTGCTGTGTGTTATCACTTTGTTTGCTCAGTCAACATGGCTATAAAGTCCTGATAATGCTGCTCATAAGATTTGAGGGCAGTGACACTCCTAATAGACTTCAGCTACATCTGGTAACTGGTATGAATCCTGCTGACCTCTCAAAACACCTGCTAGCAACACTGTGCTTTCAGCTTTTCAGGCTCTATATAACATGTCAACTGCACAGTAAGCTGACTGGGCCTTTTAGATGACTCATTTTAATTAAACAATTTAGAAATATATTCATAGAGATGTTTTAAGTTCAGGCGTGTACAAATTAGGCAGAAGAACAAGTGGTTAGTTTACATAAGGAGTGACAGGTTAACTTTCTTTGTCAGCCTCCGAATTGTTGCTGTTTAACTGGTTCTTCACGCCCCTGAAACTGAGGCTGTTGGCATTTGATTGAAGTCAGATTTTTGAGCCAAAAGTCAGTGGCAGTGTTTTAAGAATGAATCCACTGCGAGTTGCTTCACTTGTGACCACTTTCTTGCTAAAATCTACAAAATTTGTCATAGAGGTTTTTGTATGGAAAAAGCTTATTTAGGCCACAATAAAGCCATCAACCAGAATCTGAAATCTCAAATTCCTTCAGGTTTAA